CCCCCCCCAAAAAAAAGATGCTTAGAATTCTTCCTTCAGCTACTGTTGAACAAAACCCTCTAATACAAAACCTACTTTCTAGTAAAGTATTGAACATTTTATGTAATTTATCAAATGCTATCCTAAAGTGAAAAACTGGTTGTTTTGAGTGTGCTTTTACACCAGCATAAAGTTGAAAATTTGTGACTTGAACTATCTTTCTGGAACCATCAGTATTTCCAAGGCAGAGAGGCCTTGTTTTACAACCTTGCTGTAGATAGGAAGCTACCCAGGGAATTTGATATCCCACCCTGCTGAAGAACTACTACACTACTTGCCCTGTGAGTTCATATGGGTTCTATAGCTATCTGATTCTTCTCTGTGGTCTTATTGGAGTAAAATTGACTGCTTTTTACTTGACCCTAGGCTCCATTTTTATCTTTTATCCTTTCACGTTTTATGTCATATGGACTTTAAATCATGTAACCACCATCAGTGAAGAAAGTGCAAGAGGCACAGGGTTTTTTCCTAATCAATATCAGTAGAAATTATTGTGGGGGCAGGGGAGGGGCTGTTTGGTTCTTGTGGGTCATGAGGTTTGAACTCAGGGTATGGGTGCTGTCCCTAAGCTCTTTCGGCTTAAGGCTAGCACTTTACCACTCTGAGCCACAGCTCCACTTCTAGTTTTCTGGTGGTTAATTGGAGATAAGCGTCTAATGGACTCTTGCCTAAGCTGGCTTTGAACCACAGTCCTCAGATCTCAGCATCCTAAGTAGCTAGGGTTACAGGGATAAGCCACCAATACCTGGCTGAGGGGAGGGCTTTTATCTTCTTTTTTTTTTTTTTTGGTCCGTCTTGGGGCTTGAACTTTGAACCTAGGCACTGCCCCTCAGCTTTTCAGCTCAAGGCTAGCCACAGCACCACTTGCAGCTTTTTCAGTTTATGTGGTGATGAGGAATCGAACCCAGAGCCTCATGCATGCGAGGCAAGCACTCTACCACTGAGCCACCTTCCCAGCCCCAACTGGATTAATTTTTAAGAAAGTTAAGTTTGCTAATGATAAACTGTCTTCTGCATAGGTGCCTTTGAGGATACTTCATTCGATTCTCTAACTTATCTTGTCAACGAAAATACCCTGAAGGCAATAAAAGAAATGGGCTTTGTACGCATGACTGAGATTCAACACAAAAGTATTAAACCACTCCTAGAGGGCAGGTATGATTATTAACACTGATGTTTAGAAATTAGTTTCTATTCTTAGAGGTAGGAAATTGTAAAGAAAATATCAAAATGGTTTTGTTGATTTAACATTATATTATGATCAGTCACAATAAGAACTTGTAAGTTATTTGCTGATGTTTAAAGAATTAATTTCTGTTGTTCAATTTTTATTTCTGTGTTAGGTATATAGGATGTTACTGGTATCAGTGATAGGGAAGGAATGGGCTAGATTTTTTCTTCCTGCTTTACCTCAGTGTCTAAAATGTCTAAATAGTGCTTTGTTGGTGTTCAGTAAATATTTGTGAATGGGTAGCTATAATGTCTTTCTCTTTTCCCTTTTGAATATTTAGGGATCTTTTAGCAGCTGCAAAAACAGGAAGTGGCAAAACCCTAGCATTTCTCATTCCTGCTATTGAGCTCATTGTTAAGTTAAAGTTCATGCCCAGGAATGGTAAGCTTTTGATCTATTTCTACCACTGTTTCACTAGAAGTTTGTTGTAGCTTATAGGGCCTCCTGCTGACAACCATGAGACTTGTACTTCTGTCATTTTTGGATTTTTAGGAACAGGAGTCCTCATTCTCTCACCCACTCGAGAACTGGCCATGCAGACTTTTGGAGTTCTTAAGGAGCTAATGACGCACCACGTTCATACATATGGGTTGATCATGGGTGGTAGTAACAGATCCGCTGAAGCACAGAAACTCTGTAATGGGATCAACATCATTGTGGCCACACCAGGCCGTCTTCTAGACCATATGCAGGTAGAACATTTATATGTATTGTCACTCTTGTTGTTTTATATGAAATATAATGACAGCTGACACTTCTTTTCCATTGTTTTGTTAGAATACTCCAGGATTTATGTATAAAAATCTACAGTGTCTAGTTATTGATGAGGCTGATCGTATCTTAGATGTTGGATTTGAAGAAGAATTGAAGCAGATAATTAAACTTTTGCCAGGTAAGTAGATGCATCTGCATGTAGCTTAAAAAGTAGGGAGAAGTTGATTGTGGTTGTTCCTATAGGAAAACTCACATATTTACTGCCAGAATTTTATTGTGGCAAATGAAGTAGTTAAACCAGTCGTGCTTAGAGGTAATTTGGAATATATTCATCAGATTTTTACTGAATTTATAGTTTTGGCATTTTTGATAACATCAGATTCCCTCCTTTGCCATCTTACCTACTGTTTCCTTATGAACATCTTTGGAGAAACCCTAGTCTTGTCTTCTGTGTTATATTTGACTGGTACATCTTATGGTTACAGTCTTATATCATTATAAATTGTTCATAAAAATACCATGATTGTGTTCATTGTAATTTATGTATTGGTATTCTACCAATGTATATAATTAATCTAATAAGCTGTATATATTAAACTCTTCAAGTTTTGATCATCTGATGTCCCTTAAAAACTATTACTGTAATAAGATCCTGAACATGTTCTTCACCCTCAAATTTTTCTGCCCCTTTTCCTCAGTACCATCCTATTTTTTTAGACTATACCAGTTCATCCTTTTAGCTGTGGATGGCTGTTGTTGGGATTTTCTGTGGTACAGTTTAGGAGTTATATATGAATTTGGAATATGATTATTTGTCTACAAGTTATAAAGGCATAGATACCTTTTTCTGATTAATAACTATCCAGAAAAGGGGTGTGGAGCTGGTGAAGTTTGTTGTTGTGTTTTGTTTGGGGATAGGGAGAGAGGGAGTGCTGACTCTGAGGCTTGAACTCAGGACCTGGGCCTGAGCTTTTTGCTCAAGTCTGGTGCTCCTACCACATGCCATAGCTCCACTTCCAGCTTTTTGGTGGTTAATTACAGATAAGAGTCTCAGGAACTTTGCTTCCCAGGCTGGCTTTAAGCCTTGATCCTCGGATCTCAGCTTCCTGAGTAGCTGTTATCACAGGTGTGAACCAGCAGTGCGTGGCTGGCTGGTAAAGTTTTAGCTACCAACTATTTGAGTTTTCTTGGGTAAGATTTGGAAATTTGCCTTTGAAGGAATTTGTCTTTCATCAAACTTAACAGACCTATGAAGCTTAACAGTGTGTCCTTTTTACCCATTTTAATAGTGACAGCTCCTCTACTATTCCTGCTATATCTATGTGAAGTGTTTGTAATTGTGAAGTAGTTATGGAAATTTGGGCTATCTCTGGTTGTGTGTTTCAGTACGCAGACAAACCATGCTCTTTTCTGCTACACAAACTCGAAAAGTTGAAGATTTGGCAAGGATTTCACTGAAAAAGGAACCATTGTATGTTGGTGTTGATGATGATAAAGCCAATGCTACAGTGGATGGTCTTGAGCAGGTACTTTTATAAACAAAAAGCTTAGAACTGTAAAGATCTTGATGATGTTTCATTATAATTGTTTAGAAATTATCCATAGAGGGGCTGGGAAGGTGGCTCAGTGGTAGTGCACTTGCCTTGCATGCCTGAGGCCCTGGGTTCAATTCCCCAGCACCACATAAGCACAAAGAAAAAAGCCAGAAGTGGCGCTATGGCTCAAGTGGTAGAGCGCTAGCCTTGAGCTGAAGAGCTGAGGGACAGCGCCCAGGCCCAGAGTTCAGGCCCCACAACCAGACCCCCCCCAAAAAAAAGAAAGTAAAATAAATTATCCATAGAGCAAACAAATTAATGAACTTTTAATCAAAGACAGCAAATTTGAGTATTGGGTCCTTAACTCTTAGTACCAAAAACTAATAATCAGATCAACTCTTTACTCTTAATACTGCTTGTTACATTGGAAGCATGTTATACTGCCAATTTTAAATAGAGTTTAAAAAGAAAAAAAGATGTTTCTAATGATCTCCATAAGGTGTAAGGTAAGTCATAGCTGGGAAAGGTGGTGTCAGATCCAAAGTGGATTGATGAAAATGGGAATGTTACATGCAGAGTCCTTTTTGTTTTTTGTTTTTTGTTTTTGGTCAAAGTGATGTACAGAGGGATTACAGTTAGATAAGATGTTGAGGTTTTTGATGAATCGGTTCCTTGTAATTTCATGTTGGTTTAGTATTTGCTTATTTTGATCAGTCATGGGGCTTGAACTATGGGCCTGGTCACTGTCCCAGAGCTTTTCAGCTCAAGACTAGTGCTCTACCACTTGAACCACAGCACTACTTCTAGTTTTCTTGTGGTTTATTGGAGATAAGAGTCTCACGGACTTTCCTGCCTAGGCTGGCTTTAATCCACAATCCTCAGACCTCAGCTTCGTGGGTAGCTAGGATTACAGGTGTGAGCCCCTGGCACCTGACCAGTTTAGATTGTGAATGTCTTGTGTCTATGTTACTTCACATTGTGTGGATTATTAGGCTCACTTGATTAATTTGTATTTGTTAATTTGGCTCATTTCTAGGGCTATGTTGTTTGTCCCTCTGAAAAGAGATTCCTTCTGCTCTTTACATTCCTTAAGAAGAATCGAAAGAAGAAAGTGATGGTTTTCTTTTCATCTTGTAAATCTGTGAAATACCACTATGAGCTGCTGAACTACATTGATTTGCCAGTTTTGGCCATTCATGTAAGTGGTTGCTAGGGGCTTATTAATGTAGGATCGAAAGTATTGCTCTTCCTTAAGACTAGTTTTGAATAGTTTGATCCCATTGGAAGTCAACATCATTGCAATCTGTAGAACATAAGATGGGTTGTGTGCTTAAAATCAAGTAAGGTACCAATTCCACATTTTGGATATGTTTATTTAGAGTTTACAGAAACAACTCCATGTTCCAGCTTTAATGAATTTTGTTTTTAATCTAGGGAAGGCAGAAACAAAACAAGCGTACAACCACATTCTTCCAATTCTGTAATGCAGACTCAGGGATATTGTTGTGTACAGATGTGGCAGCAAGAGGTTTAGACATTCCTGAAGTCGATTGGATTGTTCAGTATGACCCTCCAGATGATCCTAAGGTAACCAACATATGGTGTAACTGGAGCATCTTTAGAAGGAATGCATTTACTGTCTGGGTTCTCTGAGAAACTCCTTTCATATCCAGGAAGTTTACCCCTGCTGAGCAGCCCTTCAGCATTTCTTGGATTAAAATGTGATTCGGGCTTTCCTGGGCTAAGGGTATGCAGAGAAGATTGAACAGGTAACAGGATGTCTTAAAGTGAGAGTATTAAATCTTTGGAATGCTATATCCAGAGCAACAAATGTCTGAAAGAATTAACATTTACTTAAGTTATATAAAAATTCTGTAGTATTTGTAGTAGAACAAACTTAAGAAGTATTTCACAGGACCATGGATAATAAAGAACAGTTGGTTAGGACTAAAGCATATATGCTTAAGCCAGCCATTTTTGAAGATGAAATACACTTCATTTGTTAGCTTATGATGTTAATGTGAACCTGGTATACAACCTTTTTATGGCTTTATCTTTAACTGATTACTCATTCATGAATAGAGTTTGCAGAAAATGTGTTGGCCCTGCTTTGTAGGGAACAGGGTGAAGGTGGGTATAGCCCAGTTCTGTGGGAGGCACACCATTTCAGTATAGGAGTGCTGATATACCTCTTCCTGTCATCCAAAATACAGCCGTGATGCCAACAGGTTCATGGAATCAATGCCTAAACCCAGGTTTTCTTTCTCCACCAAAGGAATACATTCATCGTGTAGGTAGAACAGCCAGAGGCCTGAATGGGAGAGGGCATGCCTTACTTATTTTGCGCCCAGAAGAATTGGGTTTCCTTCGTTACTTGAGGCAATCCAAGGTAAATACATTTGCTTAGAAAATGTTAAATTGGGACAAGATTGTTCTTATATAGGAATTGGCGGAGGGGTCTTAAGACAGGGCAGGGCTGTGAAAACAGTGAGGTTTTATGTGTTTTTGGCCAGGGAATGTGAGCAGAAATAGCTGCCACACAGCTCAGCCCCCAGCTGTGTCTCATTCATACTTACTGTGTCCCAGAGTCTCTTGTCTCCTATTCCCTACAACCCCAGTGTAAGCTTCTCTGCTCCTTCAGGCTCTTATTCCTAGTCATGACTGCCTCCTGTAGCCTTACCTGCTTCTCATTTTGGTATCTTTTCTTCTTATCCTTCTTATGTAAGCAATGGAATCTGCATTCATACCATCACTACTTTCTTCACTTTTCTGTTGCTGTTTTTCATAATATCACTCCACTAATTTTCCCGCCACTGTCTCTGGGGGCTACTGCTCCTGCCTTTCCCCTAGTCTGCCTTGTGGGGAAAGTAGTTTCTACTTTGCAATTCCTTCTGCCCTAAGTAACCTCTCTGGGTTTGACCTCTCCGTCCTACCATAACAGAATCCATCAAAACAGGCCTCTTGGTTGCTACGCTTTGTGGACTGATGGCAGAACTTCTTTTCCATGACACTTGTTCCTTGCCAACCTCACTAGCATTCGTGCAAGGAGTATTTCTTCTATCTTGCAACTTGGTGCCATTCCCAAAGTTGCCCTGAACCCTATGCACAATTGCTATATACGCTCCTTTCCTGGTTTTCTAGAATTGCTGCTCTATCCTAGAAGACCATCTCTGAGCTCCAACCCTTCGCTGCCCCACAGCACAAGCACTCCTGGAGTTTGTTGCTGATTGTAATATGCTCATCAAGAATGGACATCTATTTCCCCTCCAGCCACTTCCCCCCTCCCCCAGTAACTAGTTTAAGTCTTGAACATTTCCAGCTATTTAATGTGATGAATGATAACAAGTACTTATTGGAGCTTGTGCTCAGTAGAGCCCTGTGTGTTACAAGCCACAGTCACAGGGAAGGGTGGTCTTAGAAGAGCTGGTGATCCTCACTAAATGTTCCGGGTTGCTTCAGCACCCCACATAATCATAGACATCTTAAAGTTCTTCCCCAACTTATTGTCTCTGTTCAGTTTTCACCTAGTCTTCCAGGAAGAAAGAAATGCAAGTCCCTAACGTGATTCATGTGCACCCAGCAGAATTGGAACTTCCTTTGACATTGGAAAGCTAGAGAAAGTAGATGCTGGCCCCCATCCTGAGGAAATGCCACATCCCAGGCTTGAGCTACATTGAAACTATTGCTGCCTGGAACCATCAGCTCTCACTGTTAATGGGACACAGCACTTTCATCCATCTCCAAATCTGAGTGTTGGTTTTTCTGTTTTGTTTTCTAGGTTCCACTAAATGAATTTGACTTTTCTTGGTCGAAAATTTCTGACATTCAGTCTCAGGTACACTGCTTTTTTCCAGTGACATTTCTGAGTAAGAGATAACTGTCCCAATACCATCTTCACAGGGTCTGAATCTGCCCTTTCATAAGGTGGGAACTAGACTGAAATACTTAAGATTCCTTGCTGTGTGGTTTCTAGGTTGCTTTGTTTTTCTTTTCTTTGATCTTATTGCTGTGTCAGTTCATAAACTGACTTGAGTAAGTATAAACAAATGTGTCTTGTAGGTTACTTCATTCAGATATTTTAGATCTGTTTCACTAAAACCAATGTTTCTTTCTGTTCCAGCTTGAAAAACTCATTGAAAAGAACTATTTTCTTCATAAGTCCGCCCAGGAAGCATACAAGTCATACATACGAGCATATGACTCCCATTCTCTGAAGCAGATCTTCAACGTTAATAACTTAAATTTGCCTCAGGTTGCTCTGTCATTTGGTTTCAAGGTGCCACCTTTTGTTGATCTGAGTATCCTTTTGTTTGTTATTAAGTCATGCTGGAACTAAGGAGCAAAGGCTTCATGGGGGTTGAGTTTACCGGTGGGTTTGAGTGTGCTTTGGCCATCAGCCAGGGCTCAGATGTTCATCATGGTTCAGTTTAGCACATAGGAGTACAATAGGGTAAAAAAAGGTTAATCATGGTGGACCTTACAGGAAGAAGGTGACATAAGGCTTAAGCTTCAAAAAGACAAAGCAATCTGACCCAGTGAGAGGCAGGGATTTTTGTACCTTGCAGACAGAAACAGAGATAAAGTTGCAGAACTTGGTGTTTGCTGAGGCCCTCTGTGCAGAGTATTTAAAGGAAATCATTAAAGCTGTTCAAAGAGTGTTAAGCTTAAGCCCCTTACAGACAGTGGAGAGTTTTATACAAAGAAAAGGCAAGTTTGACAAAAGAAAACATAAGCTTTGCTCAGGGCAAAAAGCAAGAATACCTCCAGTTGAAGCAGTTGCAATTTATAATATGTGCTTATTTTCAGCAGAAGAAACAAGTTTTTTTGTTTTCAAAGTAATTACACAAATGAGTTTTAATCAACAAGTCAGATTATAGATAAATGTATCTTGAGAAAAAATTTGTTAACGCTATAGTGATAAATCTTGAGGGAACTGGAGGGCCAGATTTTGGGTTGCCATCCCCATTCTTTTTTTGAGCCAGTCCTGGGGCTTGGGCACTCAGGGCCTGGGCACTGTCCCTGAGCTTTTGCTCAATGATAGTGCTCTACCACTTGAATGACAGCTATATTTTTTCAGCTTTTTTTTTTTTTTTGGTTGTTTAGTGGATATAAGAGTCTCATACACTTTCCTGCCCTGACTGGCTTTGAACTGTGTCTCAGACCTCAGCCTCCTGAGTAGGTAGAATTACTGAGCCGCCAGGGCTTGCTTCATCCCCACTTTAGATGTTGAGTCATGATTGCGAAATAAGTGCATGTTGAATCGTGTGGCCTGAAGAATAGGTCCTTTGCTTAGTTAAACATTTCTCAGTCAAATGAAGCAAAAGTCACATATGGCAGTACCGAGAGGACTTCTAAATGTGTTTGTATGGGTCTTAAAGCTCCTTATTTATACTCACCTTGAATTTTGTTGGGTGGAATGAATGGTTGCTGTGAATATTGCACCTGGACTTAAATCACACCTCATTTTAGTTCCTCTACATTGTCAGGATTTAGGACAGGTGGGCAAGAGTGCAATGCAATGCATGCTGGGTTTCACTATTGCTTATCATCTCTGTTGCCTGATTTCCTTAACATTTACCTGCAGACGTGAACAGCAATGAAGGCAAGCTTAAGAAGAGAGGAGGTGGCGGAGGATTTGGCTACCAGAAAACCAAGAAAGTAGAGAAGTCCAAAATCTTCAAGCACATTAGCAGGAAGTCTTCAGATAAGAGGCAGTTCTCTCACTAATGGCCCCGAAATGGTTCTGTTTTCCTACAGGATTTTTATACTGTTTAGAATGTTCTTGGTCTTTACTTTGATGCTATGATGTTTTAATTTTAAATACTCCCTATGCGTGCACACACACAAATCATGTCATTTTGATATAACTATTTTTGTAACTTGTTATGTGAGGAATTTCTGGCATGGGTAGCTATGCTGCTAATTTCCAAAAAAAAAAAAAAAAAGACTCATAATCCCATCTACTTGGGGATGCAGATAGAGATCAGAAAGATCACTGTTTGAAGCCAGCCTGGACAAAAGAGTGAAGGGCTCCATATCAGATCACCAGGAGTGATGGTACATACTATGGCTAAGAAGATCAGAGGCTGAAGCTCGCCCCAGACAAAACACCTGAAAACTAACCCAACCAAGTAAAGGTGTATAGGATGTGGCTTGAATGCTAAAGTACCTGCATAGCAAACAAACCCTGTGTTCAACCCTGTGGGTATAGCCAAAAAAAGAAGACAGGACAGCTGGTGAGAGTTTGTTTCTTGGACAGTCTGAATACACAGACCTGCACTCTAGTATAAAAGAGTAGAGACTTCAAGGAAATACCTAAGATGTCCCTTGAGATTATGGCCTCCCTATTATATTCCTAATTTAAAAACACTGAAATGAACATGATAAATTACACAGGACTATAGGCATTCACACACAGTAGGACCAAAGAGTACTCTTAGCAAAGGAATAAAAAGGTATAATGCCTATTTGCCTCTGATTTCCTAAAATATCTAAATGAACTGCAAAAAAGACGAAATGAGCCTTTTTTAGTTTTTACTTTAAAAAGAAAAGAAAATTCAACGTATGTGCCATTAGTACATGAATAAAGTCCCTCTGATAATATTGAAGAAACAATTGAGATTGTTGTGCTTCAATATCAAGTTGTAGAAGTATAATACTTGTTCTCCATTTGATAACTTAAAAGATCTTTTTAAATACACACACACACACACATATATATGTATATATGTGTATATATATATACATATATATATATATATATGGTGTTTATTTTCATTTAGGTTGATTGTGAGATGCTGTATTTGGTTTTTTTTGGGGGGGGGCGGTCCGGTCCTGGGGCCTGAACTCTGGACCTGGGTGCTATCACTCAGCTCTTCAGCTCAAGGCTAGCGCCCTACCACTTGAGCCACAGCGCCACTTCCAGCTTTTTTCTTTTTGCTTATGTGGTGCTGAGGAATCGAACCCAGGGCCTCAGGCATGCAAGGCAAGCACTCTATCACTGAGCCACCTTCCCAGCCCCCAGAGAGATGCTGTGTTTGTGTGTGAGAAAAAATTACCTCTTAAAACCAGTCTGAAACAAAAATGCTTTTGCAGTGTCTGGCAAATGAAATCAGGAAGAGTCCCATTGAGTATAATTACATAGAATATCAAAAAGGAAACCATGGGATGAAAGGTGTGGGAAAGGGAATGAGCTAGGTTTGACCACCTAGACTTCTTGGGTTTCAAACCTTATTTTAGAAAACAAGCAATGGGAAGAATAATCACTGGACCAGATTACTACTAGCGTTGATATTTCAGATGTTTGTGCACATGTATAGTTTTTTGTTTTACCTGAAAGTGAAGTCATCCTCTGCCTTACACTTAGAACTAGCCTGTTCCATGTTCAATCCCTGCCCAACACCTCACCCTGTCTCTGTCATTAAATACCCTGTAATTTTGTATTTCATCTAAGACTGCTGTGTTCATATTTGCTTGGTTTATAGGATTTGGATCCTTGCTTATGCCAGGCTGGTTCTCAATCTCAGCTGTCTACTGCTTCTGTGTCTTGTGCTTTTGCTGACCCCAGTCAACACCCAAAGATTTTGGGAAAAGTATATCTGTATAATCAGATGGTGAAAAGACTGGTCCTTTAACAACCTGATTTTTTTTGCTAGGGTACAGATGGTGGGCTGAATGGGCCAGGGCCAGGGCATCCAGCCTCTGCAGAGCTCAGAACAGCTTCTAGTGGTAGTTTGGAGCATTTTACAAGTGGTAGTCAGACTGGTGGCTCATAGCTGTAAGTCTAGCTACTCAGGAGGTTGAGGTCTGAGGATTGCAGTTAGAAGCCAGCCTGGTCAGGAAAATCCCTGTGCAATTCTCCAAAAGCTACTCAGAAAAGGCTGGGCATGGCACTGTGACTCAAGTGATAGAATTGTTAGCCTTAAGCACAAAGAGGCTCAAGAATAGTGCCTAGGCCCTGAATTCAAGGACCAGGACCCAAAAAAAAAAAAAAAATGGGAGCAAGTACCTTCATTTAAATATAAGATGCAAATTGTATAAAGTTTAGCTAATTTCCCTTCATTACCATTTAACTTCTCTGGGCTGGATTCGTGGATGAAATGAAAGTACAGAGATCTATTTTATAAGATAGCATTCAAATATGCAATGAGGTGTTCCGGGCAGTGTGTGAAGTACTCTAGGCGTTAGCTGTCAAGCACATCAATGAAGTTTGCTGACAGTGGCAACAAGGATGGAGGTTCAGCACATGTCCTGAAATAGTTGGGCCTCTTGAGTACAGACAGAATTTTTTTTTCCCCTCAGCTCTTCGGCTCAAGGCTAGCACTCTACCACTTGAGCCACGGCGCCACTTCCAGCTTTTTTCTTTTTGCTTATGTGGTGCTGAGGAATCGAACCCAGGGCTTCAGGTATGCAAGGCAAGCGCTCTACCACTGAGCCACCTTCCCAGCCCCAGATAGAATTTTTGAAATTTGAACAACAGACCCAGATTTTGCAAAGTGCTCCAATTTGTAAATCTCCCCAGGGTATCTTCCAGTGGTATCCTTTTCGAGACTAATTAGACAGTAATCCCAGTTCATCAGCAATTTAAAAACCTACCTTAGGTCAACATCAATGGCTAGTAGCTATAATCCTAGCTACTCCTGAGGCTGAGATCTGGAAGATGGTGGTTTGAGGCCAACCACATAAAATTCCCAGAGCCTCTATTAAAAAAAAAAAAAATTGGGTGCCAGCAACTATCCTTGAGAATACCCACTGTGAGCAAGTTTCCCACTACCCCTAGGTGCTCTACCATTGGGTACCCTAAGTATCATCCTTCTTAGACTGTTTTAGTCTAGAGGAGGTTGTCAAACAATTAAAATATCTGGTTCCAGTGGACGGTGGTTTGCTTGTCCCATCTTCAAGAGATGGTAGGCCTCTGGTAGTGAGAGGAACCTCCTAGTGATTCTGGTGTACAGCCTTGACTAAACTTCCTGCTTTGATCTTGCTAAGTGTTCAGCAAGGAGATGTTAGTGTAGTCATCTACAAGATGTAGCCCTCAAGAGACAAGGTGCCCTGACTTTGCAAGGAAACAGCTATGCTTTTGTTTGAATGCCTTATATGGGAAGAAACAGCCACAAACAGCCTTTGCACCTCCCTGAGCCAAGCCTGGGGATCACTCAGTGGCGCTCCATTAAGTGATGTCAGCAAACAAGATGAACCTTATTTGCCCTGGCCACATGTCCTTGACATGTTTGAGTCTCAGGACATTGAGAATTCTGTGAGAAAAGAGTATACTTGAGATTCTGATGAGGTGGTTTCACTGTGATATCCAGGCCACACCAGACCATTTGGCTCTGTCCTTTATTCCCCTTCACTTCTGCCTGTTTTACAAGCTGATTTTCTGCAGCCATTTAATGTATTTGCAATTCATTTCCAGCCACTCAGTGTCTTCTTTCTCATACTAATGTTTTGTTTCCCTGCCTCTTTATATAAAATAGGCATATTGCTTGTATTCCTGCCCTCTGCCCATAGCCTTTTTGCTCCTAAAAGGAGCTCAAGGAAAGTGATTGGATTCCAGCAAAGCAAAGATGCCCAGGAGGAGGGAAAAAAGTAAGGCAAGCTCCCTGCTTCTAGAAAGTTACTAAAAGCTGGAAGTTTAAGGAAGAAAATGTGCCTTTGGTATTACTCAGCCTCAAGGGGCATGTCTGGGGCTACACAGGGCAGGGCTGAGGGCTGTCTGACCTCCCAAGCCAGCAGTTCTTGGAGCTGGTAGAATGTACACTGAGGCTTTGAGCGAGCTGCTTCATTTCTCTCTTCCTGTTTCTTCATCAGTAGAAAGAGGAATGGTATGCACAAGGATTATATGCAATTAGCACTTAGAAGCAAGTTAGTGATAATTCTACCAAAAACTGGGGGGGGCAGGGCGAGAAATGGGAGGAAGCAAGGGGCTGGAGATAAACTCAGAGTACCTGCCTGGCAAGTATGAGGTCCCATGTTCATTCCCCAGTACTACCAAAGATAATAAGGGAACTAGGAACATGACTGTTTAGAACTTCCTGCTCACTCAAGTGTCAAACTGCTCAAAGGAGTCCCCAGCAGGAGGCCTTTGAGCTCTGCCTGAGCCCAGCAGCTTCTGGGGCCGGGTGGATGTATTTGTGTTCCTGTGAACACAACAGAGCTATAAGGCTGGTTTTTCTTGTGCTTACAGGGAATAAAAAGGACAGATAGAGGATATAAATTTACCTAATTCCCCACTTGAGAGGATGTTGAGAAGTGAGGCTGGCCCTGAGCTAGGCAGGCTCAGATTTAAGCCCTTTTGTAGTATCACGCCTCTGAGCCTCCAAAGCACCCATCCAGATTACCAGGATGAGGAAGAAATCAGAAGCATCCATGATAGCTAGTAAGTGGCCTGGTCTGGATTCAAGGGCTATTCTGTTCCACCCTTAAGCCAGGACATTTTCCACTCACTCTAACTCCAAGGCCAACTGAGGTGGCTTTTATCTTCTCTTTTTCCTGCAAAAGAATGTGTCCTAGCATTTGAGCAGCAAGGGCTTAAAAACCTAAGTCCAAATTCAGTGCTAGCAGTGCAGACCAAAGACCACAACTAGGCTTCTGCCTTACTACTCTGGTAGATATGTCTCAAGTCAGTCAGACTCTATGGGAGCAGTGTCTTTTGTCCTTGTAATTGAGCCTGGGATGATTCTTGCTCCATCCTACAAGCTCACTGTGGAGGAGGCATCTGAGGCAAATCCAGAGAAAATAACCATCTCTAAGGACTGAGCTCTCAAGAACAGTTTTGGCAAAGTCCAGTCCTGAAGGATGGATGCTGTAACTCACAGCAAGATTTCATGAGAAAGGGAGGGATGGGGGAAGGAAGGAAGAGTGACAAGATGTCCAGGCTAAATTTAGCATGAGTGAATCCAAGAGTAAGTAGTTTGGTGGACAATTTGAAAACTAGATTCATGCTGGGCACCAATGGCTCACACCTGTAATCCTAGCTACTCAAGAGGCTGAGAACTGAGGATCACAGTTCAAAGCCAACCCAAACAAAAAGCTCAAGTGGAGCTGTTCCTCAAGTGGTAGAGCACTGACCTTGAGCACAAAAGCTCAGGGACAGTTCCCAAGCCCTGAGTTCAAGTCCCAGACAGGCACAAATAAAAAATTAAAAAACTGGGTTTGAGTCTGCCGGTTTGAGTTCCAACAAGCAAAGACCTTCCCCAAGCCTCATAGTTGCCATTATAACAATCATCATGCTCATGGCTGCAGTGGCAGGGCTTAAACTGCTCAGTAAGCATGTCAGAATGTTAGCTATCTGCAGAGATGAGCATCCACTTAAGGAAGGCAGGTGAAAGTAGCTGTCAGGAAGCATGGTGAAAATAAGAAACAAAGTAAAAGAGAAAATGGAGCTTAGTTTCTAGTGGATAGAAAGGAGATACTTTGTGTGTTGGGAATCACCCTAGTTAACCTTTATAGTGGAGAGCACCAGGGTAGAAAACAGACCTGGAGATGGAACAGATGGGAAGACCACTGTAGCCCTGCTACACTCCAGGCTTAGCCATTGATGCTGGGGTGGAGCCTGGATGGGCAAAGATGACAAGAGAGCGTGATGGCCACAAAGATGGGATGAAGGGAAAGAAGGTCCTATTCGCAAATACACAGTCTGATATGTGGCATACATTTGCCTCCTCAGCTCACTTGTGTAACAGGAAATAATCACTGTCTTGCAGCTG